AACAACACCTCATAAATTTTACGTCGGCAGGATAAACTTATAGTTAATCTCTTGTTCTCTCAAATAGTTCTATAATAATTATCTCGGTTAACTCGTTTTTAAAACTAAAATTATCACATTATGATATAATTTTTTTGTACTTGTCACGCACGTATACACAACTTGAGAAAAAATTTTAATTTTTAATGTTTAATTTAAAATATTAAGTGTTTTATGTTATGTAAAAACAACTTTTTTTTTCATGGTAACTGTAAATTTTCCATGCGCCTATTTTTTTTCTTTATTATTTATTCCGTCTGATAGCTTTTGAATCCATAACTGCAGAACTTTTTTCATTTGGCTATCTGTTGATCCAGGGAATTGTATTTAAACAAGATCTGCAAGCGTTCAAGTGTAATATGGGGCTTTCACGCAAAACATCCTAGGCCTACCGCGCGAGCGCTAAAAGTCACTTTTCAGATCATTTTCTCGGCCTTATTCCTATCCTAAAAAAATGTTGCAAATATCATTTTCAATGTATTTTTCAGTGAGCTTTTCGATGGTATGGTTAGTTTTCCAAAAAAATTTTCATTTCCACTGGAAAAAAAAAAAAAAAAAAAAAAAAAAGGCTAATACGTCGACGCGCGATAAATCTAAAATAACCGCGCGTGCACACCCATTAACTCATTATTATACACACTGACATTATAATCTCGGATGAAAAAAAAAAAAAAAACCAATACGTTTGATTAATCATTATCACGGACCTTCTCGAACGCACCAGCGCGGCATATTCATGTACACAAGCTCGAGAAACACGCGCGCACCAGACCTTTCCCCGACAAGCGCAATCTACAAAGAGACTTGTCCCTCGCTTGCATCGCGACACGTATGCGCACGATCACTCCGAATCAATTACGTAGCCGATTCGCCACGGGTGTATACAAGAAACAACGGTGTGTCCCACCATCAATCACCGAAAGTAAAAAACAAACAACCCAATGACAACTGTAGGAGCGATGGAGCAGTGCCTGGTCCTGGTGTGCCTGCTCCTGGCAACGGTGAGCGCGAGTCCACCCCAGTGCTGCCCACAAGGGCAAAGTTACGTCGACGACTCGAAAAACTGCACGGACGGGAGGGGCATCCTACTGAACTGCGCCGGGGGCTTCTACATGCACGGGCTCCAGCCTGAGGTCGGCGAGGAGCCGTACACCTTCACGCTCGACGCCAACAACGCCACGTGGGTCCAGTTCAACGGGTCCACGGGCTTCAAAATCCCACCCGACGAGTAATGGAAACAAAATTTTCATTTTCTTTTCCTCCATTCGCACTCTCCCAGCGGTTCATCGAGTCCTCGTATCAGGTACTGCCTGGCGTCGAGAACCACGGGCGGCCGGGAGGTGATGCTGATCTGCTTCGTCGAGGAAACAAAGGACCCGAGGATTCTGATTTTCGGGACGCTGAGCTTGGTGTCGAGCGTCTTCCTCGCCGTGACCCTCTTCGTGTACCTCGCGCTCCCGGAGCTCAGGGAGGTCCAGGACAGGGCGATGACGTGTATGACCGCCAGCTTCATGGTTGCCTTCTTCTTCACCGGGATCCAGCAGCTCAACGAGTCGACCCTCAAGGAGGAGTTCACCTGCGTCTTTGTCGGTGAGTACAGCGCACCTTGTTGGCTTGATGTTGTTTTAGTATATGTTCACTCTTTGTATCGTTTAAATTATTCTTTCGTCACTCGACAGCTTTCGTCATGTACTACGCCTACATGAGCGCCTTTTGCTGGCTGAACGTCATTTCGCTCAACATATGGAGATGTGTGTGGTGAGTTGTTTATCATGAAGTACCTACTCTATTGTGGGGACTCTTTTGATTAACATAAAAGTATGGAAAAAAAACAACAACAACAAAAAACGCGAAATCGCTAACGAGGAAACGCAATATTTATCCTACTTCTGACATGCATCACAAGCACGTGCTCAATTTTACCTCTATTAGCGAGCACTTTAACGTCAATATATGCGTTGGTCTTCCAATAATCGCGAGAAGACAAAAAAAAAAAAAAAAAAATTACATTTTAAAATTCAATCGTCAAGCAATCTAAGACTGTAGCATTTTAGTTGGCTTGGATGTAGTATTGATTTATAGATCTACAATAAATAAATGTAAGAAATGTTGCTCCCTCGTGTCCACAAGGTATCCCAGCTTGAGGGTAAAGACCGAGGTGTTGCTCGCGATTTACTCCTTGGTCGGGTGGGGTCTGCCGCTCTGCTTCCTCGGTTTGTCCCTGTTTGGCCACAACGACAAGGATCGTTACTTCATCAAACCCGGCTTTGGCGAGAACAATTGCTGGTTCAACAGTAAGCTGCTTTTTTTTTGTTCTATAATTTAAAATGCGTAGACGAAGAAAAAAAAAAAAAAAAAACAACTCAACATCGATGTACTTTAGATAAAACGTCAACGTGGACGTACTTCTACGGGCCGATAATGGTACTGCTCCTGATGAACCTCCTATACTTGGCACTGACTGCGTGTAAGCTTTGGCACGAGTACAGGGACTTGAGCAGCTGCAAGCTCAACGTCCTCAAAGCCAAGTGCATCATGTGCATAAAGCTCGCCCTGATCATGGGAGTCACTTGGATCTTTGAAATCGTGTCCTTTGTCTTCGGGGACATAAACCGTTACTACTGGTATACACCTTCGATCGCGTCCCCCAAAAACGATGCACCGAAAAATGTAAATGTTATCTGTTGGTTTCAGGATTCTGCCGGACATCGTGAACGTGCTGCAGGGCTTTCTGATGTTCATGGTCCTGGTCGTCTGTCGGAACCGAGTGAGGAAGCTGTTGGCGCAGCGAAGGCCCCTCGGCATCCCCTTTCCCAAATCTTGGGCAGCTTACGACGACACGGAAGACTGCGAGGCTGCGAACCCCGAGGAACTCCAGCTGTCCCAGTCGTCGTAGATTTACAGCGGACTCTCTTTTTTTTTTTTTTTTTTTTTGTGTGAGCGCGCGCGCGCGCGTGTGTGTATGTGATTTATACGAGAGAGACTCGGGTAATCGGACCTTGTGCTCGCGGTGGTTCAGTGTTTTTTGACTGGAGAACCACGTACATCGAGTGTAGGTTTTATTTACAAGTGTTAGTTCTTAAGGGTAAGCCATCACGTTATGATGAAGAAATTCTTCATCTCCAGATTTTGCATGAACACATTTTTGTAAATTCACGTGATCGACGAAAATAAACGAAATAGATTTCGATTTGAAAAATATGGAACTCGGACGAACATGCTTGCAGTCGTGGGTTAAAATCAGACTAATGATGCACGTCTGACGCGCGTTGGGAATAAATCAAGGGCACTTGATTACCAAAAAAAGCTGATTTTTTTTTTTTTTTTTTTTTTTTTTTCACGGACGCGTGAATGATGATTTGTCCATTTGTGGGCCGAAATCTCGCTGGATCTTAAAATACCATCAACCTTCCTTCGGAGTTTAACCGAAGGCAAGGCTGATTCGACGCGTGTGGCGCACTTGAGCCTCACCTATATTTATACGAAAGCTCGTACAAGCGAAGAGTACATAATGCAAGGATCGAACCGATTTCTCGGCCGATGTACGAAAATACCTATATCGTAATCTTAACAGACGTTGCATAAGCGCTTCATGCAACTGTACACACGAGTACAAGTGATACGGGTGACATTTAGCATTTTTATCATTATCACTTGGGCTCGGCGTGCACCTATATATCTGTATATTTAATAAATTAAACATTAAAAACAAGATCTTTCCTCCAAACGAGATATCTTATTTTCGCTTTCAAGTTCGACGAGTGACGACCTCTAAACGAATGTCAGTTTCGATTATCGGTATACTGTCTCGTGCTTTGACTGAGGGGGGAAAAAAAATTTGAGATCCGATACCCCTCCAAATTCAGGGACCCAAAGACCCTTGTCTTTGTCTCCTATGTATGCACTTGTAACCAATAGCACTTTAACATAATTATACTTTGCAATCAAAAAAAGTTCTGAAGCTAACGACTCGTTTCCGTTATCTTTGATAATGAAATTTTCAACTTTTAGAAGAAAAAAAACAACAACGAAACTAGTCCGTCCGTTTCTGGATCTCAATCAAGATTGTCGACTCGGCAGCGCGAGTGTAGCCGTATATAAATAAGCATCAATTACCCTCGGTGTAGCAACAAGACGCCCGCAAATTAAATAAAGCTCCAGTCCGTCGACTCGGTCAAATCAAACGAGCGTGCAATACAATCAGGTTCGCCCGCGGCTCTCTTCCCTCGCCATCGTCATTACAGCTCATTGAATCGAAGGAGCCTCTCCTCGCCCCTTCTCCTTCGTGATTAAACGGCTGTGAACTGTTGTCCCATTGTTCAGGAAATGAGAGAAAAGAGCGTCTGTCTCGTCGACCGCAGAACGGAGGAATAGCGAGCTCAAAACCGTATACGGCTAAAAGACCTTTTTACGCTGTTGATCCACGTTTGGATCGATTTTTTCGCGGACGGCGAGTTTAGCTGCAAGGGCGGAAACGAGCTGCAGTAAGGAAAAACAGTCGCGACAACGACATTGCCAGTTTCATTTTTACCGATATTCAAGAGCAGTCGGGGAAAAAAAAAAAAAAAAAAAAATCGAACGTATGGCATAATCTTAAAATCTGCGAGACCACACCGGTGTCGGAGAGATAAAAGAGCTCGATACTGGCGTATCCATGCAGGTAATCGATAAGCGTAGCGTGTACAAGGGGAGCAACTCCAACTGTACAGAGGCCATGTGGGGTGATCGAGGCAGCAGAGGAGGGGAGACGACACACAGAAACGCGCAGTTATAAAACACGTATGGGGCACGCGTGTACTACTTGTACAGAAAGACCCCATAGTATATATATATATACAACGCGATGCATAAGCAGCGACGGCTTCCAGCGCGTGCTGCTCCGAAATAACAAAACAAAAAAAAATCGGAGCACGCAAAGCAGTCCTGTTCCGCTGGCTGGCGCGCCGGGATCGACTCGACATAAGTATGCGCGTGTGCGCGGAAATATTTACGTTTCGCTCGATCGTCTCCTTCGACGGAGGGGAAAAGCCGATCACGATACGAGAAGTGCACGACTGCAGTGACCGGTAAAACGATCCGTCAAACGCAAAGGAGAAGAGAAAAAGGAGCCATCGCTGTATTATATATCATCAGGAGAACTGTCGCCGGAGGTGTAATATATATATATATCGATGCGGTGTGTAACAACGAAGCGATGAGACGCGCCAGCGTCGGGCAAACAAGGATATAGCCATCAGAATTGCACGCGTATACATAGCCAGGCAGCAGGTAAGTAATCCGAGAAAGGAGAAAACGCGCGCGGCGTGTCCCACACCAAGGAAGAGAAGAAAACGCAGGGAAGGGGCAGGCAGGTGAATCACGCCAACAGCAGCAGCACCACCAGTTTGTTTTATTACCTGGAGACGTCCGTGCGCTCTTCCCTGCAGCTCGTCGCGTGTGCATTGTGCAAATTGTATACCGTTTTCTTTGGCTAGGCCACCACGGCAGCAGTGCGAATAGTCGCTACTCGAGTCGACGACTATGGTGAAAGCGAGGATCGACAGCGATCGTAACTCGTGTGGATTGTAGCGGAGGGGCAAATGCTAGACGATGACGGGGACGTCGCAGCTGGTGCTAGTCCTTCTGGCGACATCGTTGGCGCTGCAGCTCGTCGGTGGCAGTACGCTGGACGCCGCGAGCGGAGCACAACCGGAAGGCCTCCAGGATGAGCGCGACCGGATCGTGTTGGCCAAGTGTTGCGAGGAGCACGAGGTGCTGCTGGACCACGCGTGCGTGCCCCTGGCGGAGGCCAACGAGACCGAGGCCTGGCGCCCGGATTTTGAGAGCGAGGATGGTTACCCGGGCGCAAAGCCCCCGAGGCTGCCCAGGTATCTTTTCAAGTACGGGCCGCCGCGCTGTCGAAGCAACGAGAACCAGTGGGACGTCTATCACTACTCCTCGAGTTCCGATACCCTCGTGATGCTGACCTCGGGTAAGCTGAGGCACTACGTGCCCGACCAGGTCGACGAGATCGTTAAGGCCAAGGAGCTCTATGGCACCGAGTTCCTCGAGCCCGAGGACGTGCAGGCCAAGGCCATACACTACGACTATCCCTTCGGGCACTACTGCGCCGACAAGGCTATCCTCACAAAGGACAACCTGTCGGCCATATACGCCAAGATTTGCGTGCCTCGGGCCGTCAAATGGGCCAGCACGGACAATCTGATAAGAAAGGCCGTAGATCCGGCTCTGCACGCTATCGCCGTGGTCTGCTACCTCGTTGTGGCCATTGTCTACTTTGTCCTGCCTCAGCTCAGGGATCTCGTCGGCAATATCGTTACGAGTCTCATGGTGTGCCTCATCGTTAACCAGTGTGCCTCCTTTATCACGATATTCACCGAGTTTGGCAATCACATCAACTTCCTTGCTACAGGTTATTTAATGGCTTATCCTTTGGCATTCTTGTAAGTTGTTGTAAAATATAATAACAATTTTTCTGTTTTGTAGATTTGGTCATGTTCATTTCACTGCTGGCCGCTTTTTTTTGGCTCAACGCTTTGGGATACTACATCTGGAAGACCTTCAGATCGAAAAACGTGTTCCTCAGAAGTACTGACAAAAAAAAGTACTGTTGCTACGCGACTTGTGTGTGCGGCTGTACTGTAGCTATTGCGGCGACGGCGATATTTGCACACTTTACGTTGGAAATAAACAAGCCCATCATTGGCGGAGTGTCGTTTGAGGCTCAAGAAACTCTGGGATGGCTCGGATTGTCGGTTTTATTCATGACTATAGCGTTCAGTATATTTTTCAATTTATACTTTATCCTCACAACCAAGAACAAGTTAAAGAGAATGCGCACTTATGGAAGAATACATCATAAAATGAAGTACAACTTTAGAACTTTTATTCTCGTGTGCATGGCTATGAGCATCGGTTGGGTATTCCTCATGCTGTCGCTTTCAAAGTATAATGGTCTAGTTTATTGCCACATAATTCTCAATGCACTTCAAGCGTTTATAATACTGTACGTGTGCGTTTTTGGTCAGAAAAGGGTAACATTTTTGCTGGGAAAAACGTGCAACTGTTGTATTTCAAATGAAAATGCAGAAGGTATGGAGTGGGGCGAAGAGATGACTGCTATTAATGCTGGATATTGATTACAAAATGGAAAAATAAGTCAATTTAAAACTCGTATCCTAAAGTATTTATACATAGTCATTCAAATTTTATAATTGTAAAAAGAATCTCAAGTATTTCTAATCAGATAGTTAAAAAAAAGTTATAGATTCAACCATTGCTTTGAATCGAAATATAAGTGGAATAAAAAGATTAGAGACCTATTCGTTTCTAAAATGATTGATGTAAAGTACAACTGTATAGAATTTTAATGTACAAACTATGAAATCAGTACTTTATATTTATTAAAATAAAAAGTGACCTTACTCAAACAGCTGTATTATTGAGATGTTTCAGGATTATATTGAATTGTAGTAATATTATTAGTGATAAGTTATTTATAAGTGGAGCTCTTAAGATTTATACTTTTAAAAAATTTCTTAATTTTTATACCACACTTGTTTAACGAGAAATAAAAAGAAAATTGAAAAAAACTTACCTGTTTAAATAATCCACCATCTGGCCTATACAATAGATTGGACAGTTGACATCTAACTACCAAGTGACAATCATCAAGCAAGGTATTGAAATATCTTCTGGTCGGTAAAAGAGCTTCCAAATCTATCATCAGCTCCAAAAATCTTTCACAATAATGAACTTTATCCGGAATCACTTGACCTACAAATTTAAAAAATGGATTGATTGTTGTTTTTCATCATGTCATTTAATAAGTATTTTACCTTCCAAGGGAATGGTTTCCAAGATCGTCATATACTTGATCATTAATCTGTGTAAAAATTTGCGCTCCCATTCCAATTTTTCCTTGTTCTCTGACTTGTCCTTCTTTAGAATGGCCTTCCACATTTTCTTCCACATGGGATACTTTTTGAACTCAAGCTCCCTCCTACCCTGTTGCAAAGATATCCAAATGCCAATGGACACAAGTCTCCGGACCTGTTCCCTCACAAGAACAACTTCCATCGAATTGAAACAATGATTCAGAAAGACTACGAGAGCCGTCTGTTCTTTTAGGTCGTAATCATGTATACTGTCCTCCAGGCATGCTTCAAGGACGTGCTTGAAAAATCCGGGAAACTGATTCGGCAGCCTTTCAAAGGCCTCCCACACTTGAACCCGTTCACGAAACTTTTCGTTAACCATAACGACGATGGACATTGTGTGCGCCCGCGTTGCCTTCTCAGCATTGTAATTTGGCCACAAATATTTCTCCAAATACTGACTAAACTCCAGCATCATGATGCGCCGGATCGAAAACTTGGAAACGCATATCTCCTCGACGTAGATGTCATCGACGACCTGGGCGCTGAAAGGTAGATGGGACTCGGCGGTGTGCGGTGCCCAGTATTTGTTCGCGAGCTGAAAGGACCAAAAATTGGGCTTACTTGTTGAAAACTTATCATCACAAATAGTTTGACAAAGTACTTGTCTTCTTACCTGCGTTATCCGGTCCGCGTTGATCTGCTCTACTGTAGGAGCTGGATTATTTGTTTTGACGGGCGGCAGAGTCTGCGTCTCTACCATTTTTGAGCTTTACAAGTATTTTCTTTCACTGCAATATAAACATAAATATTTTCGCATTCCCGCAAGCTAACCTGCAAAACTCCGACTTGATACAAATTTTATCTGACATGCGACGACGCGAATTGCGAATTGCGAGACGGTTAAAACGAACTTAACGAACGTTCAACACAATTACACAAACTGTACACAATAAACAACATAGCCAAGAGCTGAGTCCAAGGGTGGTTGAAAATCTTTACCAGCCTCAACTCTCACCGGATTTGAGAAACTTACTGTTTCGTGGAGTTCGTTCCGGTTGTGTGGTAATTAAAGTAGTTTCATATAGTCTATTTTATAAACCAGCCGCAACTTAAATCAATGGAAAGAAAATACAAACTTAAAGGTGTTAATTACGGCAATATTAGCATTTATCTAAAATTGACTTACAAAAAAAATGGATATTGTAATCGTATCTCTCAGGAACGTTGGAATGGTATAACCCAGTAACCTTGGAACGTTTGAATGGTATAACCCAGTAACCCCGGAACGTTGGAATGGTGTAACCCAATAAAACAGGAACGCTGGAATGGTACAACACCATTACGCAATCCCAATCACCATTCCGCAATCCCAATTGCCGCCAGCCAGTTACTGTACAATGTTACGACGTGACACGTGACAACATTGCGTGGTTGGGGGCGCTACTGTAGATTTACTGGTGATATCGTGATTGTGTGCTCCGCAATCTCACCAGTAGAAAAGCAGACGACGTCGGTCCATTGGTCCATATATATATGTGGGGCAACAGTGTCAGTTTGAATAAGAGGAAAGAAGAGAGGACGTCAGCATCAGAGAGGGAACCATCAACTTTTCAGGACGAGAGATTTACCTATAAGTATCCTTTGATGCTGGGCTCCCTTAATTAAGTACCTACTTATTCGCTGATGCAGATAAGGTATATCCACTTGACGCGATTGTCATCCAAGGTGGTTCACGTGTAAGATTGCGAGGAGCTGGACCTCTGTCAGGTAAATTTATTTTATGCTCATTTCGGTGCGCAACTTTTTGGCGTTGCTTTGTTTTTATTATGACGACATGCCATGTTTACCTCTAGCGAGTTTGCGAGGATCGCACTGTAGGTACGCGTAATATATATTATACTTACCATTGAAATGGGAAACGCAATAATTATGAGGACGATGTCGGAAAATTGCATCATTTCGTGGCAAAATTCATATTGTTGTTTTCTCGTAATTGGAAAATTTGGTGTTGCGGGGGTGAAAATAAATATACAGGCTGATTAACGTGTGTGCGCATTAATTACTCACGGAAATTCGCTACTTGTACATGTGTTGGTGTCCAACAAAATCAATAACAATGATGATTTTGTTGTCTCTGTCCTCTTTTATTCTTTAACGATTAAAACTGCTCTCTCTCTCTCTCTCTCTCTGTGTATGTAAATATTGTATACCCTGCCTTTGTAGAATAGTTACCTAGTCGCTTTTGTAGAGTTTATTTGGCTTTAATGGTCATTTAATGGTAATGCCGTTGTATTTTCCTTGACAGGACAAAGTGTAAGTTATTATAATTATTGAAAAAAATTAAAAAATAACAAAAAAAAAAAAACAAAAAAAAACATGATGGAAATCGCAAAAAGAGCTAGAATGGATTACGATGATATGCCATTAGATTTATACTTTTAAAAAATTTCTTAATTTTTATACCACACTTGTTTAACGAGAAATAAAAAGAAAATTGAAAAAAACTTACCTGTTTAAATAATCCACCATCTGGCCTATACAATAGATTGGACAGTTGACATCTAACTACCAAGTGACAATCATCAAGCAAGGTATTGAAATATCTTCTGGTCGGTAAAAGAGCTTCCAAATCTATCATCAGCTCCAAAAATCTTTCACAATAATGAACTTTATCCGGAATCACTTGACCTACAAATTTAAAAAATGGATTGATTGTTGTTTTTCATCATGTCATTTAATAAGTATTTTACCTTCCAAGGGAATGGTTTCCAAGATCGTCATATACTTGATCATTAATCTGTGTAAAAATTTGCGCTCCCATTCCAATTTTTCCTTGTTCTCTGACTTGTCCTTCTTTAGAATGGCCTTCCACATTTTCTTCCACATGGGATACTTTTTGAACTCAAGCTCCCTCCTACCCTGTTGCAAAGATATCCAAATGCCAATGGACACAAGTCTCCGGACCTGTTCCCTCACAAGAACAACTTCCATCGAATTGAAACAATGATTCAGAAAGACTACGAGAGCCGTCTGTTCTTTTAGGTCGTAATCATGTATACTGTCCTCCAGGCATGCTTCAAGGACGTGCTTGAAAAATCCGGGAAACTGATTCGGCAGCCTTTCAAAGGCCTCCCACACTTGAACCCGTTCACGAAACTTTTCGTTAACCATAACGACGATGGACATTGTGTGCGCCCGCGTTGCCTTCTCAGCATTGTAATTTGGCCACAAATATTTCTCCAAATACTGACTAAACTCCAGCATCATGATGCGCCGGATCGAAAACTTGGAAACGCATATCTCCTCGACGTAGATGTCATCGACGACCTGGGCGCTGAAAGGTAGATGGGACTCGGCGGTGTGCGGTGCCCAGTATTTGTTCGCGAGCTGAAAGGACCAAAAATTGGGCTTACTTGTTGAAAACTTATCATCACAAATAGTTTGACAAAGTACTTGTCTTCTTACCTGCGTTATCCGGTCCGCGTTGATCTGCTCTACTGTAGGAGCTGGATTATTTGTTTTGACGGGCGGCAGAGTCTGCGTCTCTACCATTTTTGAGCTTTACAAGTATTTTCTTTCACTGCAATATAAACATAAATATTTTCGCATTCCCGCAAGCTAACCTGCAAAACTCCGACTTGATACAAATTTTATCTGACATGCGACGACGCGAATTGCGAATTGCGAGACGGTTAAAACGAACTTAACGAACGTTCAACACAATTACACAAACTGTACACAATAAACAACATAGCCAAGAGCTGAGTCCAAGGGTGGTTGAAAATCTTTACCAGCCTCAACTCTCACCGGATTTGAGAAACTTACTGTTTCGTGGAGTTCGTTCCGGTTGTGTGGTAATTAAAGTAGTTTCATATAGTCTATTTTATAAACCAGCCGCAACTTAAATCAATGGAAAGAAAATACAAACTTAAAGGTGTTAATTACGGCAATATTAGCATTTATCTAAAATTGACTTACAAAAAAAATGGATATTGTAATCGTATCTCTCAGGAACGTTGGAATGGTATAACCCAGTAACCTTGGAACGTTTGAATGGTATAACCCAGTAACCCCGGAACGTTGGAATGGTGTAACCCAATAAAACAGGAACGCTGGAATGGTACAACACCATTACGCAATCCCAATCACCATTCCGCAATCCCAATTGCCGCCAGCCAGTTACTGTACAATGTTACGACGTGACACGTGACAACATTGCGTGGTTGGGGGCGCTACTGTAGATTTACTGGTGATATCGTGATTGTGTGCTCCGCAATCTCACCAGTAGAAAAGCAGACGACGTCGGTCCATTGGTCCATATATATATGTGGGGCAACAGTGTCAGTTTGAATAAGAGGAAAGAAGAGAGGACGTCAGCATCAGAGAGGGAACCATCAACTTTTCAGGACGAGAGATTTACCTATAAGTATCCTTTGATGCTGGGCTCCCTTAATTAAGTACCTACTTATTCGCTGATGCAGATAAGGTATATCCACTTGACGCGATTGTCATCCAAGGTGGTTCACGTGTAAGATTGCGAGGAGCTGGACCTCTGTCAGGTAAATTTATTTTATGCTCATTTCGGTGCGCAACTTTTTGGCGTTGCTTTGTTTTTATTATGACGACATGCCATGTTTACCTCTAGCGAGTTTGCGAGGATCGCACTGTAGGTACGCGTAATATATATTATACTTACCATTGAAATGGGAAACGCAATAATTATGAGGACGATGTCGGAAAATTGCATCATTTCGTGGCAAAATTCATATTGTTGTTTTCTCGTAATTGGAAAATTTGGTGTTGCGGGGGTGAAAATAAATATACAGGCTGATTAACGTGTGTGCGCATTAATTACTCACGGAAATTCGCTACTTGTACATGTGTTGGTGTCCAACAAAATCAATAACAATGATGATTTTGTTGTCTCTGTCCTCTTTTATTCTTTAACGATTAAAACTGCTCTCTCTCTCTCTCTCTCTCTGTGTATGTAAATATTGTATACCCTGCCTTTGTAGAATAGTTACCTAGTCGCTTTTGTAGAGTTTATTTGGCTTTAATGGTCATTTAATGGTAATGCCGTTGTATTTTCCTTGACAGGACAAAGTGTAAGTTATTATAATTATTGAAAAAAATTAAAAAATAACAAAAAAAAAAAAACAAAAAAAAACATGATGGAAATCGCAAAAAGAGCTAGAATGGATTACGATGATATGCCATTAGATTTAAGCATTAAAAAGAGTGAACACAAAAGAGACAATGAAATATTTGTTGTGCCAAGAGTACCACCTCAGATAATTAGCATTTCCGACAGAATTTTGGCGTTTGAGTGCGCGCTTTCACAAAAGTTAAGATACATCAATTTCAATTTTCCCGTCGAGTATGTATACAACCCCATAGAATATGCATTTCAAAGTCATGCCATGTACGTAACTAAATACTGCCGATCAACGAAAAAAATTCTCTTCCTTGGCATGAATCCTGGACCCTGGGGTATGTCCCAGACAGGTGTGCCGTTTGGCGAAGTAAACATTGTTAGAGATTGGTTGAAAATTAGTGGTAACGTTGGAAAACCTATTCGGGAACAAGCTGACAGACTGGTAACAGGGTTTAATTGTACACGTAGTGAAATTAGTGGAAGAAGATTTTGGAATTTATTTAGAGAACTGTGTAACGAAGATCCCGAAAAGTTCTTCAGAAACGCTTATTTGCACAACTATTGCCCAATCGCTTTGATGGATGCTGGAGGTCGTAACATCACTCCTGCAGAGCTTAAGGCAAACATTTTATTAATTTTCATGTATCGATTTCAATGATAAATTATCCTTTTTTTTCTCCAGGGTCCCGAACAGTATACTTTATATTCAGCTTGCGATGAAACACTGGTGGCTGTGCTCAAATTACTCAAAGTTGAGATTGTACTGGGAGTAGGAAGGTTTGCAGAGAAACGGGCACAGACAATCATCAAGACCACGGGACTTCCAATCAAGGTAATGATTTGTATTGTACATTTTTTTTTCCTTATAACAATAAGCAAATAGAAATTTGACAGTTTTATTTTGAAATTCAGGTGCTGTGTATTCCCCATCCAAGCCCTAGATCGGTAGGTAATGAAAACTGGAACGAAAAAGCCAAACACAAACTGCGAGAATACAACTTGATGGAATATTTCTCCAATTAAGCTTGAAATTCCATAGACCTAAGCTACTAACATTAAACGATTCTAATGTTAATTGCCAAATCGATCTCATTTTTTAAGTTTTATTAAGATTTAACGCAATCAATAGTTATTCATTTATTAAATTTGTTGTAATATTTTTTTACACTATATCTATAAATAAGCTCTAAAATGAGTGCTGTCGAGTGGATGGACAAGGCTTTGGAAAAAGCCCGGGAATCCTTGAAAAAGGGCGAAGTTCCTGTTGGTTGTTTGTTCATTTATGAAGACGAAATCATCGCGACCGGTTACAATACCGTGAACGAGACAAAAAATGCCACTCGCCACGCCGAACTGAATTGTATTGACGATGTGCTAGTCTATTGTCGAAAAAAAAATTATGATTATAAGGAAGTCTTCAAAAAAATTGACGTCGTTGTAACCGTCGAACCGTGCATAATGTGCGCTGCAGCCCTGCACCAGCTGCAAATACGTAGTATAACTTATGGCTGTGCCAACGATAGGTTTGGAGGTTGTAAAAGCGTTTTCGAGGTATCACAAGTTTACGATTCTCATAAGATTAATGTAGTGGGTAGTGTAAAGGGCGAGGAAGCGATGAAATTACTCAAAGACTTTTATAAGGGTACAAATCCAAACGCTCCAGAAGCAAAAAAAGGGCGCAAGAAACAAGTGGACAATAAATGAGTCCTGATTTGTTGAAAAAGCATCGAATTTATTGTTGTAACCTTAAAGATGTTACTGTTTTTGTTATATTGGGCCTAGTCGTTTAGAGACAATATTGTATCTATGTACATTGTTGTAGATTATAAGAAAGAAATTTTTATAGGTCACGTTTATTTTAAAGTCTACGAATGATTGATAATTAAGTTTGTCAAGTGTCAAGATTTAGTTTTGTCATTGTTAACAGTTGAAACTAAATTTTGTACAATATGCTTTTTTGACAAATTGAAACTCGAGTGTGGCACTGTATAAAAACGGCCCAAAAAGTATTTCTTCTCGGCACATTGTTATACTCATCAATACTTTGATTACGTAAGAATAATTTACTCTCGGAACTTAACTCATTTTTTTTTATTTTTAGTTTTATAATTGATAAAAATTTTACAATGAGTCAATGTATATGTACATTTTGTAAATCGAATAAATTTATCTTTACAACTCGATAACCGAGTTTGTCTAAACAATTTTTACAACAGCCTCTTGGCAACCATTAAAACATCACTTCTGTAAATATTCAGCGTTCGCGAATATTATTCGCACCATGTCGGATCGAGTTCGCACTTTCCTTGATACCACCTCATCAGCAGTTGATTTCTCAACGAGTAATCCTTAAGTACCATGTCTTTCTTCTGAAAATAAAATTATCACGTCGATTATGAGGAAAAAAAAAAAAAAAAAAAAAAAAAAAAATTACGAAAAGCAAATGATTAATCCTACGATCTTTGGCGGAAAAATCCTCAAGTAGTCCATCTTATTGTGATGCTCCCAGTAGCTCTGGGACAACGTGAGTCTCGTCTCGTCCGTGAAACAAGGTCGGCACAGTTGGCACTCCACCCTGAAACAGTCGTCACACTCGGAGCACACCTCCGGCAGGACGGCCAAGTTTTTATCGGCCACAATCATCTCCTGCTCCTCCAGGCTCCTGTTGACAAAAATTTCGTTAGCCAAGATGACCGATGAATCTTCTGGGTCGGCAAAAACCCACCTCGGCCGGAGAGAATCCTTGCGCACCCTCTGCCCGACTCCGACCAGAGCGAACAAATTGTACAAAACCTGCTCGTACAGGAGCTGATTCGGCGCAAAGTGCGCCGAGGAGAGGTTCGGCGACATGTTGGCCTCCATCAGGAAGACGTTGAGATCCTCGTCTATGGCAAAGTCGAACCTGACCAGCTCAAAAAAGTTCCTGCCGCTCCCGAACCTCCTGGCCACCTCGCGGATCTGCGCCTCCTTCCGCAAGACCACGTCGTTAATGGCCTCGTAGCAGTCCTCCCACATCCTCTGGGGATCCTTACCCCTGGAGCGGACGTAGCTGTCGAACGACTCTTTCATGGACAATCCGAGCTTGGTGTAGTAACTCTTGAGCGAGGGCACGTCCCAGATCGGCAGGTAGTCGTCGCCCACCACGTACTTGTCGACGATCTCCGGATCGAAGGGATGGTACTTGACGGGACAAAACCTAAATAGCACGTCCCCCTTGTACGCGTAGATCCGCGACGGATCGACCGAAGTGATGACTGTGTAAATGCCGACGTCGAACTTGTAGCCGTCCACCAGGAAGGGCTTCTCCACGAACTCCTGAACGAACGAACCGGCGGCTGTCAGGTTGAGCTCCTCGACCCTTTTGATTTTGATCCCACGGTGGGCGTTTGACTTTTGAACAAAGCGCTTGTTCGGGTGCTCCTTGGCGTACCTGAGGAGGGCCTCTCGGTCTTCGGGCACCTTGAACGCCACGGGGATGGACTTGCCGTGGCTCGTGGAGAGATCGACCTTGTTGGTGATGTAGCCGCAGCCGGGAAAGTGGTTGACCCTCTGGTGGGACTTGAGTCGGCTCAGCGAGGAGTGGAGATCCCTGAAGGGGTAGTCGTGGGCCCAGAGTAGGTCCCAGTCGGAGTCGTTGCTGCCACGCTCGAAGCCGAGCCGGTCGAGGACGGCGAAGACGTGGCGCAGGTGGCCGTAGCTCGGGTTCAGGCCGTACACCCAGTAGATGGGCCGTTTTTCCTTGACACTCGGTGCCGTCGGGGTCCCTACGGGGGCTTCCTTTGCCGTTGGTGCCACTTGGTTTCGGGCCAGGTGGGACTGGTAGCGCAGGAAGAGGAAGAAAAGCGAGTAGAGGATGGCTGGGCCGACCACCGCACACAGGAAGATCTGACCCATTACTTTGACTTTCGTGTTCAGGAGCTTTGACTTTATTCCTTCGTCCCTCTGTCAAATGGATCATTTTTACTTATTGGAAAATGGTACGATTTTGGCCCCACCGGTATACATTCGAGTACCGGTGACCATACTTGGCCACAATTGTTTCACGCATTTTTAAATACTTTGAAATCAACATTTTTTTTTTTTTTCTTCATAAATTGCATTTTTTTATTAACTACTTTTTATAATACAATAATATTAGGAAACATTTTTCTTTTCTGGCAAATAAATGTATAATAGATTTCGGATGTTCAAGTTTATCGTCGAATATTTCAATACTTTGAATACATTTTTTTCCTTCAAATTCAATTGTTTTTGCTGATAAAATTTTGTTTAAACACTGTGTTGTGAGTAGTAATGAAAAAAAAATTTTTTTGCTCCCCAAATAATAATAATGCGTTACACTTTAAGAAAAAAAAAAAAATAAATAAAAAAAAAAATTGATAAAGTGTCCTTGCCCCAGTCTGCCGGTGCAACACACACCTGTCCGACACACGCGAAATTTCAACGTTGGTTAACTGTAAAAATTTACAGGTACGAGCTCTTTGTAATTTAGCGTTTCGCCTAAGACATATACCTGCACAACAGATTATTTTACGCTAGAGAGAAAAAATGTAAGTCACGTACCTTTTTGCCGTTGAGTTCCTTCGCGTTGCGCTCTGTTCCCTTCATCTTGGACGATTTGTTATTATATCTAGCTACAAATATGCGCAAATATCTTTTATATATATTCTAAATTGGCAATTATCAATTGCACGTATCTAATATCACGTAAACAACAAAAACGGTAATGAAGATTTGGCAGTGGGACTCCTCTTTGGCTGCAACTGTGCCATGTCGCGCGCCGTCGTTGTACTCACGTCCGCGTAGCAGTACAGTGACCACATGAAGCACGTAATACCTATTGCGTGTATTATATTATATGTTATTATATACCTATACGTTTCAAAATAACGCTCGTACACGCACTGCCGGAGCGAGCGAGGAGAGAGAGAGAAAAAAAAAAATTTTTTTTTAAAAGTACCGTTGTGCAGCAGTGTCTTCCTCGCGAGTGGACTCGGTGGAAGTATAAAGTCACGAAGAGAGAACCTGTTCCTTTGAGTATCGGTCGGCCGGTCTCTGTTTCTATACTTACTCCTTTCCTTTCTCCAACGTGATTTTTTTTTTTTTTTTCACTTTGAGTTGACTCTTCTCCCCCCCCCCCCGTTCATTGTGCAATTGCATCGGCTCTGAGATTTCGTGTTCCGGGAGATGCTCTGCTGTCTGACGTATGATATACGAAAAACTATTCCGGGGAATATTCGAATGATTTATTTTTTATTACTATCAGGACATGACATGATTGTATGCACGTTAAAAAGAATCATTAGTAAGAGTATAGATTTTAGGTGTATATGTATTGGTGAATTTTTTATTAATTAAATTTGCCATTCAACGTGATGATGAACAATGCAAGGGGTATTTTATGTGTTTTAATTGAAAAAACGAAAGAGTGTGTCCAACGAGTAGGTAGAACCAAACTTGATTAACGAGATGAGAACTGTATACGAATGTCTTTAACCAAAAGTATAAAATTTTTATGTGCGGATATAAAATGCTTTTGTTCATTATTGTTTATAGCTGATTTGTGAGGTGAGGATTTATGGTGCAGTACCTACGTTTTTGAAACGATTCGCAGATTGGCAGGTTTTATTACATTCTGGATAAATGTGTTCTCTTGTCGCTTGAAATGTAAGATTTTATTTAAATAAAATTTTGAACATCGCGTTAAAGAAAAGTTGAACTAGACAAGCAGAAATTTTTTACAACTTCGATAGTAAACATTTGAAGGTTTCAAAATACAAAATACAAAAATCAAACATTTTCATGGTTTTCAAAAAATTAAGGTTGAAAAATTGTGTACAATTTTTGAAAATTAGTTCAACAATAAGACATGTAAATTGTCTAAAAAAAACTGTTCAACTGCGTCATTTTCCATAAAAAAACTCAAATACCGGCTTTTTTCCGAAAGATTCTTTTTTGTTACCCTTCTTGTGGGTAACGTAAGATTACATGGAACTATATGTAGCCAAATTCCAGTGGGAGGGTGTGAGCATACGAGAGAATTAATGGTATAGGCCCTGAAAGTTCAAAGACTCAGTTCAGCGGACAATTTAAATTCTCGCGGCCCATGTTTACTCTCCGAGGCGCTGTCAGCGCTCCGGAGGCTGATTTTTCAATTTATTTCACACACAAGCTTTCCGCTCGCGCCCATATGAGCGCTCCTTTATATTGTCAGAGTTGGCCAAGTTGACCTGCCTAAGTTGTCTTCGCGGATAAAATGGGTTTTAGCAATATCTGGTACTCGCACCCCCGCAAATACGGTCAGGGATCGAGATCCTGGTAAGTCCGCTTTTTAATTTGCTTATTTTTTTCCTTAAGTACGATTTATACCTCACGCGGAAGTGCACTTGACAATCTTCTAGTTTCTGTCCTTGTCGATCCATGCATTCGGTGTGCGTTCAATTTTTACTATTAATCGTCTATTTGCAAGTCCTAGATTGTACTTATGCTGTTACACATCTCGTGTCATGAATGTTTTAATCTGTAATTTTATGAGCAAATTGTGAAGCTGAGTTCTTTTTAGCGTCTGTAATCGCAAATATTTATATTGATATAACCTCAAAGTCAAAAGCGCACATGGCACGCGTGCACGATGTTTACCCGCATCACTAGCTGATTATCAACTTTCTCGGAAGTTATTTTAGATCGATGCAGCATTACTAATGTCTTTTATAATGTTTTAGCCGTGCTTGCGCCAACAAACATGGTCTCATCCGCAAATACGGTCTGAACCTGTGTCGACAGTGCTTCAGGGAGTATGCCAGTGACATTGGTTTCAAGAAGGTAAGGAATATTACTATTTTTACATATTAATTATTGATATGTTAGGAATTTGTACACTCCACTCAACGTCAAGATGTACACTATTACTATTGTCTCTAATCAATTATCTATTTTTTTTTTTTCTTTATGAAGTATAATTATCTGTCTTGGACTGTGGTACACTCAATAACTTGTCTAAACGTGGAATAAATTCAGTTAACAATTTTTCAATTTATAACAAGTTTTATTACAAAATAGTTGATTTACAAATGAAAGTTAACAATCACAGCTTGAACATGGTTTTTTTTGTTTTACTTTTCAGTTGGATTAAAAAGTAAACTCTGGATTTCAAAACCGATTCCACTATCATTTTAATTTAACTTGAAAGTTAAGAATGTTTTGAGCTGTAAGTAAAAAATTAAGTAAAACAGCTTTTTTTAAAAAAAAAAACAACAATCGGTTCATTATTCAATGATCCATTTATCATCTTCCCCTGCTCCTTTATCCACTAATGAGTCTCTGTAAAAATAAAAAAAATTTATCTTTTGGTTGCAACGATTGAAAAATCTAGATTATTTGTAAATATTAATTCTTTTCTTCGCATATCTTGGATAAGTTCAGTGAAACAAAAATTAAGTATCAGTTTAACTATTGATAAAGATTTTTTATAATTTATAATCATATGATGGTACATGTTGCATTTATTTAGTAATGTTGTATGAAGCAGTAGCGAAGCAAATTTCTTGACCAATGCTTTTTGCTACAATTTGAAAATTCGACTTGAAATATCAACTTACAGACGTTGCTTGAACAGCTAAGCTTAGAATCGATCGTTTTGGCGGTCGACATACTTTTTTTGCCCCTTCTTGGCAACACAGATTAGGCAAACAATCAATCATTGTTGTACAAGACCGTGTAAATATATCAAGAACAGGTGGAGGAGCTGGCTGGCACTGAACAAACCCAATCAAAGTCTTGACAGCTGCAACGAGTTATGTTTTAAACATTTTTTTATTTTGTTTTACTATTGCAATTCGTTTTGAATTGTTAATGAAGCTTACTCTCACGGTTACTTGGAAATGGCAGTTCCGACCATATCGGCGCGGCAGTTCGGCAGTACAGTAACTTGTCCTTTTTATCGGGACAACATATCCGATGCGGTTTTTCGCAGTCCTCATCCTTGGAGCATCTCTTTATTGGCAGTCTCTCTGGGAATGTATAGGCAGGACATTTCCGACGAATCCCAAAAAAATCTATAACAAAAAAAAAAAAACAACGGAAAATCAAAATCAAATACAGTTGTGTAACAAGTAAAATGTAACATGATGGAATTTTTTTTTCAACTCGTGGGAAACTGTTACTTCTCGATATTTTACTCTGAATCGTGTTGAAAAATCATATTAAATTACAGCTGTGAAATAAAAAAAACCTACAACTTTTGATAAGTATTTTTCTACTTTGACCAACTGTACATTTTCACGAGTCTGGTACAAATAAATGGTCCATAGGTGGCGCGAGACGCGATCTCGAAACTGCCGAGTAAAATTTTACACAAGTTGAACCACATCACGCAGACGCTTCCACCTCCTACGTTTCAATAATCACCCACACAAGCAACATCTGCACGTTTCCCCCTCTGTGTGCAGTTATAATGTATTTGCTTTAGAAGGCGATCTTATCAATTCGCTGATTCTACATTTACTCGCACTTCACAACATCGAGTATATTTATGTACCCAATTTGCGCGCTTCAGCGTTTACACATCATCATATGCGCGTTTGCTAAAGAACGAAAACAAAGGAAAAAAAGGTGAATAACAAGACACGTATGTTTAATAATACGCTCGTGCCTCTCCTCCGTCTCATTGGGAATAACTCATCCCGACTATTTAGCAGCGAGCGAGTGCTCTTGCACACCCTTCATAGACCTTAAAACCAAGCGCGGGTGACAACCCGATACCCACAAAAATGCACCGAGGGAAGCTCATTAACACGAATCCTCGCCGAATAGGCCTTCTTTAACTTCGGGGTGCTGGTTGGTGCTGCTGATGCGTCCACGAGGCGTTCCAAAATTCGTCGTTCTCGAGAGGATGGAAAAAGGGAAAAAAAAGCGTGTATACGAACAGCTCGAGCAAAACAAGTTCCTTCGGCCCCCTCGACACTCGGCCGAGTGTGTGAGCCTATACGTATGGACATTCGGCCTGTAGTCGTTGTGCACGTGGACGAGAGGGAAAAAAAAAAAAAAAAAAAAAATAAGAGAGCAAACAAGCCAGTGGAACCAGTCTCGCTCGACGGCAACAGCAATAGGCAGCACCGAGTGCAGGGTATATACACCAACACGCATGTACACCTTGTGTGTACAGTGCTCTAGTGAGATCACCTTGGACATTCGGCCTGTAGTCGTTGTGCACGTGGACGAGAGGGAAAAAAAAAAAAAAAAGAAATAAGAGAGCAAACAAGCCAGTGGAACCAGTCTCGCTCGACGGCAACAGCAATAGGCAGCACCGAGTGCAGGGTATATACACCAACACGCATGTACACCTTGTGTGTACAGTGCTCTAGTGAGATCACCTTGGGAAGCTGAGTTTGAAAGGTGAGGGTGCAGGTTTTGTGTGTGCAAGTGGATTCTCTCCCTTATTGTTTGTGCCCCAGGGCGTCCAATGGCAATAATCACAATTGCCCAACGAGCTCTTGCAACTCGGGGCCAGCCGATGGGGACGATTTTCGCCGGGAAATCATCGAAGCTGGTTTCGATCGACCGATTTATTCTACACCACCTCGATACCGAGTCAAAGACCCTGTCAGCTCGGGGTTTCCCTCCCTCCCATTTGTTTTTTTTCTGTGTACTTTGTCGAAACCCGATGAAAAGATAAGAATTTCGTTATCGACCCGGCGCGACCCATAGTCGAGGCGCCTTTTTCACGATAACAGCTCATCGGACGAAACGCTCGATCTCTTCGTATACGCGTTGCTTCTTCGATTTTCTATAGTATACATAACCACTGCCACCCGACGAATTGATTTCGTTTCTTCTAATAATAAAGCATCAGGTGCGGTACAAGGTGTATAGGTAAACGGGCGAAAGCGGAGCAGCTAATAAAACGAGCCTCGCTAAAACACGATGATCAAGATTAACGAGCCGGACCTAAGTAATCGCTCGCGCGTGCAAACACGAGCCGTATGCCGTGAATTATCAATCGCACTCGTTTTCTTCGAACCTCTTTGTTTTTTTTTTTTTTTTTCGTACACAAGCAAGTACTTTCGTGTGTATATGCGCTATATCACCGGGAAAATCGTAATTTCACGCCTGAATAATTCTCGGGTGTGTGCCATCGACCAAACTATGAGTGTTCACGGCACTCGCGTGTTAAAAGAAAAATCCATACAGATACGACCCGTTTTATTGCCGCGTCTCACGACACACCCACCGTCTCGAGTCATTTACTCGGTGTATTTTTGTATACTTGCACGTAAAGTATTCATATGGAGTTACAAGGTGCCCTCCTGTCTGTATTCCCGAGAACGCGTTGACAAGATAATTTGTTTACTCTATACTGTATACCAACAAATCCACACGCATATATGCATTGCGTTCATCCTCGATCAGTTCAATAATTTTTCAGTGCGCGCAATCGAAGCAACGTTGGCCAGCTCGTCGAGAACGGTTTTCGATAAAGTATCTTACCAATTATTGATCAAAGTGGAATTGCACATTCAGAGAGCTGAGCCGGGCGCTTAGGTACACGCAAACAGCATCGCAGCTTCCCCTCTTTGATCATCATCGCTATATGTGTATACGCGTCGCGTATATCGAAACTCGGTCAGCAGAGTTTCATTAAAAATAATTTTCCCTCCGCGACACGGTGCACGACGAGGTATTAATTTCTTCCGCGTATATATGTATATACACCCGCACACGTACCCAGCACGTGTACATAGAGACGCGCTCGGGATGCAGTGAAGCTGATTTTGTTCAATAACTTGTTACAGCTGATGCAGGCTGCAAGTGAAGCTTGTAAAAAAAAAATAAAAAAAAGGAAAGTGCCACTAACGAACGGATGGCGAGTGAATTTTATGGAAAATAAGTTGCGGAAAAGGAAAGGTGGGACGTTCGTACGTTGTAGGTGCATTAGAAGGAAAAGAATATGTATGTAGGTGCGGGTGCCTCATTAAGCATCTCGGCTAGGTAATCGAATTGAAACTACCATTACCCAGAACTGCTGCTGCTTAGTGTTGGTACAACTTTGGGTGTACGCGCAAATCGAGGCAACTGTGTAAATGGCTTTTCAACGAGGCTCAAAATCGTCCCCGAGTCACCGTCCAAACTCTCACTCTACTGGCTTGTTCTCCGAGTGTGTGTACGTGTATACGTGCCGAGGAAAGTTTTGCACCGAGAGTGCCATGCAGAGATGGTCCGAGAGTGATGTGTATAGGTATTTTTATACGTGTACCAATACCCCGTGACATTTTTCTCTCTCATTCCTCGTTAGCTCTTTTTCGCGCGGCGCTGCTGAACATTAAATTGAGAAAAATGATCGCGCGCGATGCCTCGAAAGAGGGAGTGGGTTTCCTTTCGAAAGCTGCTCTGCACCGCGAAACTTTCCACTCAAAAGCGCGCATATTGTGTATCGAGTTTTCACGGTGTGACCTTTTTTTTGTTCCAACTTGGAAACTTTGACAATCGATACACGTTTGCTCTTTGGTTATTCGTATCAATAAATTAACTAACAGTGCAGATGTCCCGCAAATAGTATTAAGTAAAGGTACCAACATCCTCGATCAGTGAGTTTTACGAATTATTTATTCATTCGTGTATCAACGTAATGGCATTGCTAATGGATTTCGAGTTTCAATTGATACACATAAACGGCTCTTCGTATAATCTATTTTGTGTTTCATTTGAATGAAGCGTATGGATATTTAGTTCTTCGTTACACCGGCGAAACTCGAAAAAGCCTCCTCTGCGAGATGAGTTGGCAAAATGTTCGCGTAATCTTGATTCCAGAGGAGCTCCGTAGAGAGACCAATTTTCCATTTTTCACTCGACATGTCTAGGGGAAATTTTCAGTCCGCCGCTTTATTGTAACCTTTTGCTTGGTTTTTTACCTGTCAATTGGCTCGCAGCGAATAACAAAGGAAACATAAGTACTTGGGAATGATGAAATTAGGCCGATGATCCGAAATCTGTGTAACACTTGTAGTTTGAAATGAATGAAAAAAAAAAAATCTTATCCCAATCGCACGAAACGAATCCGTGCACGCAGGCGAATAAAGCACGTTTACCTCTCGCTGATGCGAACAAAATTTCGCTTCTTCAGCCTCTCTCTCTCCCAAACTCTTTCTCCTGCAGTTCCCCATGTACGCGCACACAAATGGTACCAACGTACATACACAAACACGGAAAGAAGCAGCGTATATGCTATTAGTGTACGGTACAAAGTAACGAGGAAAGATGATCGGATCGCGCGTCGGGCACTTTCTATCTCCGCGTCGCGCGAGCGTCTCTTGGATTTGCGCGAAAAGGTATGTATACCTACGTGTATAGGAGCCGGTGATAAAAGTGATTCTTTATATCTTAACGTGCGGCCATAGATTTTTCAGAACCAATACATATATTGTAGGCGCCGACTACACAGACACACATTTAGATTCGTTCGTTTTTTCATGCATTTGCAAATTAAAGCTGTTTTAGGGGGAAAAAAAGAGCTTAGCGGAGGTTTTTCTCGTTTACTGGTTCAAGAGTGTTTTTCTGGTAAGCAGGGGCGAGGATATTAATTTGCTTGAGAGGGAGAAAGTGCAAGAGGGCTATACATTTATATGTATATATATATTCCTGCTAGAATGTTTAGNCCATCTATATGCATCTATACAATCGATGCAGATAAGCGATCATTGTTTCATTCCGAGTTTTTCCTTTTCTTTTCTTTATCGCTCCAACCCAAGTCTTTTAGTATAGGTGTATCAGGGGCTTGGAGATGTTACTTAAAAGTGTGTATATATATATATATATATATATATAGGGAAGTAGGTTAAAAAGGGCACCGATCCAGTTAGCACGTAAACATCAATTCAATCTTTTAGCTCCATTATGATAACAAATCGCTCGCAAGTACTTATAATGAACCCCTACCTATACCTTAAATATCGATAATGTGGGTGTATACATATATTATACACATGGAGCTGTAATAACAAGGACTCGGTTGTACTGCTTTGAAATTAAAAGCGGAGAGAATAATCGTAGCTCCGTGGCG